CTGGAGACTGTTTTGGTGAACTAAACATTGAGTCAGATGTTCAACACTAGAAGGTGAGCATTAGCTAATCCATTAAAACCAGACAACCGCACAGGACTGGAAAAAACTCACCAGTCTCATTAATGTTATTTCAACATGTGCTGTGCTGTTAATGTAGCATACTGCAATTAAAAGACTATTGATTCAAAGATGATCCAAGCCTTCACGCTCTGCTATTTGCTGATCTTAGAAGAAATTTTGCAGTGTGGTGCTTACTGCCTCTGTGGCAGAGAGCACTGCGGGGGATCTGGCCGATGCAGAAGCATATGTAGGAATGACAAACAGGCTAAGTAACCTTATCGCTTCAGCTAACATAAAGACCCTGACAGAATGGCAATAAGCTTGATGTAGTTTGTGCAGATCAATAAATGGATGGTTTCCATGTCACATCCCATTTAAAAGTGGCATTAACCACACCAATAAACCAAAGAGCAGCTTCAAAATTGCCGGCTTCAAGCTGCTCTTTGGCTTTTCATACACTGGGCTTCGAACTGTGTTAATGTAAAGCTGTCTGTCTACAGCAGCATGCATACTATATGCTGCTGTATGAATTACATATATGATCCATTTTGAACAATTATACTAATGTAACAATTTAGTCTTTTATTTAAGGCAACAGTGCCCACTGCATGTAGTTTATAAAGTGTAACATATAGGATTTGAGGTGTGTAAGAAACATGTACATACAGCAGGTGTGCTGTTTGTCTGCATATGTAAAGGGTCCTAACAAACAGCAAGTGCACTAAGAATAAACACGCACTCCGATGTAAACTACATTCTTTTACAAGTCTGGCTCACTCTGAACTTAGGACTGCATTAAACCCCTGCAATAGTCTAGCCTATAGAGAGATCTACATTAAAGTATAGAAGCCCAAGGGATCACAGTTCTGCTGACATCAACACAGCAATCAGTGACCTGTGATCATGAAGCACTGCAGTGAGCATCTCCCTCTCTCTCTCTCTTTCTTTTCCCTCTCTGTCTCTTCACCCCCGTAAAGACTGATCCAGTTCGCACAGGTACACACACCCTCCAAAAGCAATCAGTAGGTTTATAGAGGCATAAAAAGCCAGATGCCTTGTTGGCAGCAAAAAGAGATAGCGGACACTTTTCAGCATGCCTCTGAAATCTGCCTGCCTGCATGTAGACTTTGTACAAACACTTAACAACATGCAATCTAAAGCATTTTATTTCCTGCCTGCTGGAAAGCCTTAGCACACACACACACAGCTCCCGACAAGCTACGCAGCAATACAGTCCCATATATGTGCTAAGAGAGGGGCTGGGATACACACCTGTGAGTCGCCCCATACACTGGCTGCCTCTTGTAGGAGACGTGTGAGGTTGATTGTCCTGGCTGGCCCAGCATGTTAGCTGCAGGTCTGTGATTTGCTGTGCTGTGCTCGTCTCAGTGGTGCCTGTGTGTGTGTACTTCTCTCAGCTGGTAGTGCCGCTGTTGCTGACGTCCTCTGCTGAGCCCCGTGGCGTCAGTTCATTCAAAACATCCTCCTTCCCGCCTTTGCTGCTTAGGTGAAACTAAAAATATATGCAATCACCGAAGTGTCCCCGGTTTCTGAGTGACACCCGTGTGATTGGTATTATCGAGGCCAATCAACCTCACCAATAAGTCTTTTAAGAGGTCCCAAAGCACAAACTAACACCACAGGTACAAAGAATAAGCCATAACAATATAATCATAATCTCTTCCCTCTTTCCCTCCCATTAACGGTACTCTTTTCTTCCTCAGCTCTCCTCCTTCTCTCTTCTAATAAATGCGTTCCTCAGCAGAGCTCTGTCGCCAGAGCACTTCCCTGAACTGGATGCTTTGCTCCATTCTCTCTGCAGTCATGCAGCCAATACACAGCATAAAAGGGGGGAGTTAAGGAGGAAGGAAGGATGGATGGATGAGGAATTTAAAAAAAAGAGATGAGGGGGTGAGGAAAAGGGAGAGAATGGGTAGCAGCATCCAAAATGCTGCAGTGAGAGCACTAACTGGGACCAGAGAAAAACTACATTAGCTTCACTTCACAGGCTCTCTGTAAAATCCAGGAATGATTTTAAAATCCATCTCCTGACATACAAAGTCCTGAACGATCACATCCTATCACTTCTAAAAGGGGGGATCTATTATGCTCTTTCTTACTTTCTCTAACAGATATTGTTTCAGTCGTGGTTGCTCATATGAAACATGGCCAAAGTTTCAAAACTGCAGTCAGTCAGTGTGCAAGGGCCCCGACTCCACACTCCTCTAAATGCTTTATTTCAGACAGTGTTTTTTCTACTCTTGAATCTGTTACTTTCAGAGACACTATGTCCTTAATAAAATCATTCCAGGTGCACAGAACCAAACCTTAAAGGCACTTGTTTTAGAAAGGATAATAAAAGGGGCTGCACCAGCAGACAGTATGAGATAGAAAAGGATTGTTTACGACTGTGAAACATGCAAAGCTGTTCTTTTAGAGTACTAAAATAAATCTATCTTAAATATCCAAAAATATGAAAGTAAGTGTTTTAGCAAGTACACTGAGAGCTAAAGCATCCAGATATCAGGCCCCTCTCGTGTGGGACATGCTCTCAGTTTGGGTTTGGGAGGCAGACCCCACCTCCCCCTCCTTTTGTACTTTTAAGATTAGGCTTTGTTTGTTTTTTTTCCTTTTTTTTATACTCTTAGTTATGCTGCAATAGGCTCAAGCAGATGGAGGTTCTACCATGATGCACTGAGCACCGCTCCTCTTTTTCCTCTCACTTTTACTCCCCCGTGCTACTGCTGCATGTCACATGTGTTTTCCTGTTTGTTGTTCGTCATCACTTTATGATCTTGTCTTTCCACTGGCTTAAAACAGATGGCTGCCCCCCCCCCCAGTCATTTGATTGCTAAATTTGGAATACTTGAAATTCTTACAATATGAAGAGCACTTGATTACTTTTGTTGTGATTTATAAGCCTATAATATTAAAACTGAACTGAGCTGAAGTAAGTACTAGAAATATACTATGTTGTAAATGCTTATTCTGCCAGATAGTATGATGGAAAAGTTTATTACATGAAAAGGCGATGACTACAGTTTATACTCTCTATATTCCCAAGTTACCAGTCTCTACAAATGATCTTTTAATGATGTTTTTCTTTTGCAAACATTACCTCAGTCCTTCTGCATATGCACAACAGGACAATACTGTCCAACATGATGAATTTAAACACCAAGAAAAGACAAAAGGGGAACATTTTGCATAGCAGAGACATCAGATAACATGAGAAAGTGAAGACTATAAACCAAAGAGACTGACGACTATGTCATGCTACAAATACCTTCAATTAGCTTTTAAAGCAGTTAGGCTTTAAGTGAAAATTAATCTGATGGCACCTGAGCACACAAGTACACACATGAACATGTAGTCGATGTGTCCTGCCCCTGCTGCTCTCATTCCCTTAGTTTCACCCTCTGCTGCTCTTTCTCATCCATCTCCACACTGCTTCACATCTCATTATCATACCACAGGAGTCAGAGGTATGGCGCTGCAAGTAAAGACTTCAACACTGTGGCGATAATACTAGTCTGTCAGATGTCTGGGTCCGACCACCACCAAACACCATCTGAATTGTTTCCTAGCCACCTCTTTCAACATATTCATGTATCGCACTGCACAGTTTTGAAGGTAATTAATTTAATTGCATGGACTAACGCCAACATACAAATCATATCAGATGTAAAACAGCTTCTTCTTCCTATAAATATAATGGCTGTTGTCAGCACTACTAGGTATGAAGAGACAAATGGCTACTTGTACACCCTCAGCAGGACTGATATCAAACATAGCACATCAAGCGTACGAGGCCAGATACACACAAAAATAAGCCCACACCTTATAAACAGACACAGCGTTCATTCAAACTTTAAAATGACTGTCGCTCATTCAAAAACTGTAGAAATGGGGTAGTGCACTTGTTAAGTTACTGCTTTTGACTGATCTGGTCCCTGATTGTTAGCGTAGCATTTAGCCATATCTTTTGCTAAATGCTAATTATCTCTGTCTCTCCTCTACATTCACTTTAACTTTCTGTTATGTTGGGCAGCTGTAGAGATGCAGGCAAACGCGGCAAGCTTTACAGAGGGGTGGGGGGGATAATGAATGTACACATATACATACATCTGTGGGTGGCTCACCAACACACCATCATCACATTGCTAAGATCAGCCTGCTGAGGCGCATCTGATGATGTGATTTCTAAAGTTCCGTAAACACTCCACTGCTCCCCAACATTAAGTCTGCCACTGTCTGTAATAAATTAACTACTATGCAGATTTCTCATTCTAAATGAAACCGTCCAATACAGTCGAATACATAAGTAATATTCACCCACCAGAATTAAATATTAATACATAGAAAGGGCAATCACTGCATTGCATTATGCACTACCAGAAATTAGCACTGTTTTCTTGATAGTACACTTTGCTTTACTTACTTTCCTACTTAGAGATTTTGAATGCAGACGTTTTATTTGTAACACAGTATTTTACTAATGTGATATTACTGCCTGATTTACAGTAGGTGACAGATCAGAATACTCAGAAACTCGCCGCACAAGCAGTAGCATTTCAAAAAGTGTGAAACTACTGAAAGTAATCTATAACAGGAATCGATTTACATGCAAAGAAGAGAACTGAGATCTGTGGAGGGTACTCGAGCACTTAGGTAAGTAATAAAATTACAAAGAGGACAAAGCAATGAAACATTTTAATGCTTGCAATAAAAAGCTTCATCAATATGATGAAGTGAACAACAGACAGAACAATGCGTTTCTTCAAAAGTTGAAACTGTTTGTAGAACAGGTCATTCTATTTTTGTCCCAAGACAAATATGTTGGACATTACAGTCACTAAGTATATAATAGACTAATCTACATACTCCTGGCTTGTTTCTAAAAACTATAAAATCATATATATGCACATGTTGCTACTCACCAGTTTAGTGATCAGACGTAATGCAGTGAGTCCACTTAAAAAGCCTCAGATGTCCACATCTCACATCAGTCCTGATTCTGAAGACAACCAATAGGGAGTGTCCCTTTCTGCTCTCTTAACATATGAAAACTGAGCTTGCTAAAGTGTATGCTAGTGGGTGTGCTAGAAAGTAGAAAAAGAGGGGTGTCAGATAGGAGCATAACTGCTGTTTCAGCCCTCTCTCTCTCTCTACTCTTGATCAATCGGTAACACTGGCGGCCCTTGCAGAATATAGCTCTACTTATGCTCACTGGGGAATAATAAAATAACACTTTGCTGCTTAGTGTCGATGCAGAAGCTGGTGATGAGAAAAAGAGCTGGACCTGGCCTAAAACAAAACTCTAAAGGTGCCGCTCTTTTTGATTATCACAGATGAATAGTTATCACCTCTTTGTGGTGTCCAGCAAAGTGCTGACCTTGGTCTCTGACTGCAACCAGAGCCTTCCATCTCACCCAGAGTCCTCTTTATCAGATCACATCCCAGTTCGCCTGGGGGAGAGAGGAATGGATGGAGAGCAAACCTGAGTGGCTGGTGCAGGCTGCTGCAGTGCCGGTTCAATAATCCACAGACAGACATATAGATAAGACCAGAGGGCTGAATGAAGGTGGTCAAACCTGAGGGTAGGTCAATCCATACCATGTCGATATCCATACACTGCTTTCATCCCGGCTACCGTATAACAATTTAAGGTTTTTAATTTACTGTATCTGATCCATCGGGTTAGCAAACAGGAAACCCACAACACAAGAAAAAAAGGTTTGAATTAACAGACTCTCAAATAGCTCAGAGAGACGGGATGTTCTGACATTTAGCTATACATTACAGAACAAATACACGAAAGGGGTAATCACACTGTGAGATGAATGGTGAATTATTATATCTCGTTAAAAAACAAAACAAGCTTGTAACTCAAGCTTGAGTTAGATGCTGTCATAGGATGAAACCACAATAAAAAAATATACCTGATTCAACACTTTATGTGTAATCTCCGTTATCTGACCTTGTCATTGGCAGAGATGGAAAAAAAAATGTGTGATAAACCACCAAACTGTCAATAAGTGTCTTGGTGAAGTGTACAAAGACGCAACAGCAGTATCTAGTGGCTACATGCAGAACAGCACCATGGTTCTCCTGCTAGTGCTTCAGCAGGTCTCATTGATTCGATGACAGTTGAGAGCCGGTGCAGCATCGCAGAGACTGCAGTTTTAAAAACATGAATACATCGCTTAAAATTAGCACTTTTTTGTCACTATATAACTTAAACAGAATGATTAGAGGTAATGCCAGATCACAGCAGGTTTTAATTAATCAATCAAAGATTTAGAATAGAAAAAAGAAGCACTGAGGAAAGGCTCATGAATACAAAATTAGCCATGCATCTTTGCACTGAGGCAAATTAAATTGGATCGGTTTGCAAGAAATCACACAGCTGTGTGGTCAATGTGCTCGATAAATGCTGCAGTGAGAGAAATTGCTCAAACCCTCACATCTGCTCTCAGTAGCAGTGGTCGGTCCAGTCTTTTCATTTCTTTTCTTTTTTTTTTCGCACTCAATATTCCATTAATGGAAACAGCAATATTCAATCAAGTAATCCACAATAAGCAACATTTTCTCACAGCTCATACACTCAATCTGCTGCTAACATAAGCTTATTGAAGTGTTTGGTTTTTCAGCCTTTTGGAATATATCAGCAGTAAAGCACCCTGCATGATTAGAAATTTCTAGAAACTTATCTGCAGAGAGATAGAGCATGTAGGATGTAGGATCATGTGCTTTGTAGGATGCACTGTAGCAATTAATAAGCAATTTTATAATAACGTTTCTCTCCACTTGGGTTAGCACAACAAGCTGCCAATGTTTGACATATATGACCTTCACATTCACCACTTTTTAGCACACAGCTTTGTTAAATACTAAGCAGAAACTGAGAAACAAAAGCGCTCATTGGCAGTGTTTCTCATATTCACTCGATTGACAGCTCCACTTTGCCCACTGGTCACAAACTTTTTCCTGTTTGTCTTTTCATACCAGGCAGGTTTGTCATAACCTGCAGCTTTGTGTGTTTGCTTGTTTTTTTGTTTTGTTTTTTAAAAAGCAAAACGGCTAAAACACCTAATAAAGAATACTCTGTGTGGCTGTATTAATTTAAGCAAGAGCTAAAGCTCTTTTATGTTAAATTATAAGCCACTGGTAATATTTATAATACAATAATTAATAACAATAAGTATATTCATTCATCCTTTTAACTGCTAATCCAGTTCAGGTGGGTTGGATAAGGGGTGGAGGTGCAGTGGAGCATATCACAGCTGACAACCCAAAAGAGGTGGAGTACAGCCTTGACAGGTCACCAATCCATCACAGGGATAACACAGAGAGACAGACCATTCATATTCACACTTAGTTTAGACTTACAAGTTAGCCTAACATTAAGAGCTTTAGACTGCAGGAGGAAACCCACAGAGTCACATGTAGACCATGCAAACATTACAAAGAAAGCCTAGCAGTCCAGTTCAATTCAAATAAACTGCCCTTGTGGCTTGTTTGTGGCAGTTTTAGCACATGCTATGTTGCAGATTCAGAGTATGTTATAAATGTAGTTAGTTAGAAAATTAAAAGATGTTTTACTCAGCTCATAAACCTTTACTTTACAGGACACATAATCACTGAAAACCAGTGGCTTTCCTGTATTCATGGCAACACAGGAGCACTTGCTCACATTTACTCTTTATACTGCTTATCACTTTAAAGCAAACTCTGGGTAAAATACAAAGTATTGCACAAACAAAATGTAAGTTTTCTTTCGTTTCTTTTCCCATGTTACGGAACATCCATCATTTCCTTTGTGCTAACTAATCACTTCTCCTGTCACCCATCTGGTGAGATGAGGACACAGTGGGACCTGCTTCTCTCTGCAGTGGCTCCAGTCACACTCGGGCTCTGACAGAATGCGGCAGAAAGAACTGTCATCTGAATTTAATCAGAGAGAGGTATACAAACTGCTTTTCCTCCAGAGAGGCAGCTGAAATTACTACGGTCCAGAGCCTCTTTCTTTAATAAGTTGAAAAGAGTTGTAAATGATAGCTGACAAAAATGCTGCATGTTTCAATTTCTGTCACATCTTCCTGCATGCTAGTTAAAGTCAAAGATGGCATGCTTTACCACAATCATAGTAATGTAGTGACATGAAAACACTAATCAGGCACAGAGATACAATTCAAGGCTAAAAAAAGTATTACCTTGCCTCAGCCTGCCTCTCCTTCTCCTCCAAATTGGAGAGCTCCAGCTCTGCAACCACCTTTGTTTCATGATCAGCCCCGTCAGTCTCGTGCCTGATGGGCAGACAACTGCAACAGCAGGTCCCCATCCCAGCTCGGGCATCTCCCCTGCCCTGTTTCTGCTCTGACTCCTGCTGCTCCAGCTCTGACTTCTCAACCTGCTCAAGTCATCTAGACAGTGAATGACTCATTCTACATAATGTACATCATCAACCAGCGCACACCTCAGGCCTGCAGTCCAAACAAGGCCTGATAGAAAGCTTCCTCTGTATTCTGCAGAACAAAAGCTTACTGTACCAGACACTAAATCTGCTCTTTGTTTTCATCATCTTTATTCAGTCCACTGCTTCAGTCTCCATCCCTATTTGCAGGCCCAGGCAATACTGAGCATTATTTATTTTTTAACTGCCACAAACCCTGTAATGAGTCATTGTGGACATGATGTTGACAATATGGCCCTTTTTTTAGAAAATCACTCTGACCTCAAATAAAAGTCCTGGCTGCCTCACACGTAAGTCGTGAAGATGGATGCAGAAACATAAGAGCTTTAGACATGATCTACTGATAATAACAACAAGTCGACATAAATAACCCAGCAAAGGTGAAAGCACCTGCTATCTCACCAGCAGCACATTTGCAAATCCTTGGCCAAGAGTCCAAATATCAATTTCACTGTCCGTGCATTTGCTGCTAAGATGACATTATCAGGTGCGCCGCTGCCTTTCTCATAGATTAATGATTCACGCTTCTAAGCAAGTTTATCATATTGTTTGTGTGTCTGTGTTGTCCATGTAGTTTGCATGTGTGTGTGAGTGAGATTCAAACAAGAAAAAAAAGAAATCCAATAAGATCTTTGGCAGGCTGGCAAAACAGCAATACATCATATTGCTGTTTCCAGTACCCTGCAATGCATTCAGCCTGTTGGGTGTGTTTTTTAATTTCAAGAATACCACAAAAAAGGGCTGTTAAGTAAAAAAAAAAAAAAATAGACACCTATAGGTTACAAAATAACCCACAATCATTTGGTAAAGTCACATAAAAACGACTAGCCTCAGCAAGCACTATTGTGCAACACACAACACACAACCTACATGAAATTTTCCTCAACATGAAATATGAAATAATTAAAAACTCAACTCATCACAAGCCTCAGAATAGAAAGTATCGAAACAGGAGTCGACTATAAATCCCTAGTTCTGGGGTTGGAACGTGAACTGTCTGCCATCCCTACCACAATATTGGTAGTGAATTATTCTAGGTCTCAACTGACCCCCTGCAAGACCCGAGTATCACATTTTTGGAGTGTTGTCTTAAACTACTGCTCAGTTAGTTAATGTATTTCATTAGTCTGCTGTAACTGAAAAAGAAAGAGAACTAAAAAAGTTCCTCCTCTCTCTTTCTCGCCACATCAGTGGCAGTATATCAGTGGTGCAACACAGCTGTGCTGACACTGAAACACCACATATTACCCCCACATACACCGCCACATTGTGAGTTGACAGTGCTCTTTTAAAACCCATCATTTTGTATAGCTTTGGAGTAAACCACTATTTTTCCCCACAGTCACAATATCACCATAATTTAAACAAGCAAACATTTACTTTTTTTAGTTATATAATCCCAGTTAAAACATTTATGGAAAGCCGTACAGCACAAGTGGTGTAGCTGTGTAAAATAAGTACAACAATCTTCGAGTTTAATTAAAATGAGCTTGCAAAAGCTAAGCTACCAGTAAAAATATAGAAGCTAAGCTGATGATGCTGCAATAAGAATGTCTAAACGTCGCATGCTGTTTCAGAATTAGCCAGATTAATCGGTGAGTACGTATAAAATTAATTATGTTGATGCTTCAATACATTTTTTTAATATATTCCCGAGTCAGTAGTTTAGTAAAAGACAAAGCCAACCTGGCAAAGCAGTTCCTTCAATGTGTTGTTTTACTCCCTATCACAAACGTATCGTTTTTGTTTCAGCTATAATTTAAAATTTTCAAAATGTTTAAGAAAATTGCTTTACCATCTAATGCTTTAGAAGATATATGTGTGGTAACTTGATGCACTCATGTCAGAATCCCTGCTTAGTGGTTAGTGCTGTACAGTACAAGAATAAACAGTTAACAAATGTGCTTAAGCTACATTAAAAGTGATGCTATCAGATTCTGAAGACACGCCTAATGGATGCAGTTTAACAAACACAGCTGGCACAGGTGGACAAGAAAAAACACACTGCAAATGAAACGTGGAGCAGAGCCGATTTTCAGATAAAACCAACCTTCACCGATGCTTTGTTGAAACAAAACTTGTGCACTGATCCCTGTATGTTTCTTCGTGACCTCCCATGGCACTAGAAACTTTCAAAACATGTACTTTTTACAACTACAACCCGCAGAAACACAAGGTCATTCAACTATAGTTGGTCTTACTGTTGTCAATAGACGACTTTGGTAAGGTTTAACATCCAAGGATAACATCTGACATCACTTAATCTGAGAGTTGACCATTTCTGACAGGATGAAAGGTTTGATCAGGTCACTCGAGACTTTCTGCTTCTTTGCCTCACTGAGAAACAAAGAAACAGGACTAGCTTCCTGCCTCAGGGCCCAGGAACACCAGTTGGGAAAACAATTGTTTTTAAGTGATTACCTGTCAGAGACTAGCTGTCTCATACAGGGTCCTGTACAGAGACACATACTTAGTTTTACTTGACTTTAAAATTTTAAAACTTAATGCCAGGAACCAAAAGTATAATACCCCTTTGACAGAAGACAAATTAACCCTTACAGTTAATTTAACTTACACGTTAGAAAAGCTTTGAAAAGGAAAAGTTTGTTTATCGCCCCTTTGACCTTGTTTGTTCCATCTATTTTGGCAACCATGTTGTGGCCTCAGCAGTGAGGCCTGGATTTGATGTGTTAGCAGAAAAAAGAAAGCTTCAGCTTCATTAAGACAGGGTTATGATAAAGGCCTGTAGGGACATTAAACTTCTTTATTTTCCATTTCCTGTTTAAAAAAAAAAACTGCTTCAAAACATCTCACGGCTAATTAACTCACAGCACTGATCAAAAACGTCAACTATTTAAAAAAAATGCAAGCACAAACTAAAATCATAACAAGCTGTGGGACAAAAGCAAGATAAATATTCATCAGAAATCTCAGGCAACGATGAAATATTGACGGAAAAGGCAACTAAATTTGAGAAAAAAGCTGAGAGAGCCTTTTTTTGGTGTAAAAGCTAAGAGTGATTCAGTGTGGATTTCAAACACTTCTGCCTGGACTGGCCCACAGCATTGTTAACCCCTTCAACAATGTAAACCGTGTCCTCAACAGGACGCCATTGTACCTCGGCGTGGTAATTTTCTCCCTAGGGGAGCTATAGAATTGCACTTTTCTTATTCTCAGTGAGTGCCCGCGAAGTGGTCGAAAGTGAACCTTAGTGTACTCAGTTTTCTCAGTTTTTGTAAGTAATGAGATAATAATACACAGCGTTTAGTAATCACTAGTAATATTATAATTTATGTTATGTCATGAGTTTGTGTAATGGAAAAAATTGTTATTGTATGTCAAAACCACTGGCATATCAGCTCTGCGCTCTCAGAGTGTCCTTTGGCATCAGTCCCTGATGTATTATGCAACAGTGAGACAGGGCTTACTATAATAATGATGATAATACTAATAAGAAGAAGAAGAAGAAAAGAAGAAACTTTCTTTATATACTTGCATCTTTAAAAAAACAGAGCTTAAAAAAATGCTTTGACAGAAGTGAAAAAGCAGCATACTCAAAGGGTAGATTTAAACAGGAAGCCTAGACAAAAGGACCTTCAGAGGACCTTTTGTGTACATGTGTACACAACAAAGAGAATAAAAGACATAATTAAATAAATGAAAGACTAGAGGCAGGCAATTAGCATGAAAACTAAAACCAAAAGATAAAAGAAATCACATGTAGCAGAACCACTTAAAACAAAGTCGGGAAAACTGAGTTCTAAGAAGTAAGTCTGTGGGCCTGATCTCTTCTAGCCGGTCATTTGTAAACCAAGGGGACCTGACTGCAAAAGCATAGTCATGGTTAAGTTGTCATATTTGACGCCAAACCACATTTTTAACAATCTAACAAAGCAAGCAGACCTAAACAATCAAACAGCCAAGGATAAGTTCAAAAAAGTCATCACGTGCAGATCTTTGAACTATTCCCAGAATTAGATATAAGTGTGCTGAGGTTGCTTCTTTGGAACAAGCTGCCTGCTGACCTGAGGTCAGTTATAACCAGTGTTGGGTAAGTTACTTTAAAATAGTAACTTAGTTACATTACTAGTTACTTCTCTCAAAAGTAACTCAGTTACTTCAAGTTACTCGTTACTTTCAAAGTAACTAGTTACTAGGGAAAGTAACTTTGGTTTTACTCAGAATTCTCTTGTTAATGTGTTTCTTCCATAACTTTGCCAGTCTTCTAGCTTGCTTACTTGCCACAAGTGCACTGTGCCACCTACCAATAGAAAGGAAAAGATAATGTGCATATTTCCACGAGAGAAATCCCACGCCTGGACCGTCATTGACTGCTGCCATGATTCTAGCCTACGTCACAGCGTCATGTGCGCCTTTTACATCCAACACAAAAACTGCAGTCGTGGTGCTTTCGATTGTACTCAGAACTCGGAAATTCTGCCTTCTGAATAGGAAGATGTAGGTAACACCAGACTGCAGATGAGCTGCATACAGGGCTGGACTGGGACAGAAAATTGGCCCGGGCATTTTGACTAGAGACCGGCCCACCATTATAGGAAAAATCATAAAGCCTTTGAATGAAAATAAACACTGTTGTGACAGTGATGTTCACTGTTCTGATGGTATATATGCATCAATCTATCAATCGTTTGTTGTAAGATTCAGATAATTATTTTTTAAAAGCTAGACATTTTAAATGAGAATAAGAAAGAAAAGTATTTCTTTGTGCCCCCCTCTCCCTGTTAATGCCCTACCTGGCCCCCTGGCAACACTTTGCTAGATCCGCCCTGCACAGTTACCAGCTGTCAGCTACCTAAAAAAGGATCCTGGTGTTATTTGTCTCTCAGAAACAGTTCATAACTTCCCTTCAACTCATTCATGTCACCTAAAAGGTAAACCTGTTTCTCCATCACCTGTTCAGCTCTGATGATCCAGTAAGGACATCTCCTGGGGTCCGTTCTTCGTACCTCGCTAAGTAAGTTAGCTGGATTAGATTGTTGACGATTTCGCGTGATCCTGGATCGTTCGGTTCCCCGAAGCTCATCCGGGACTTGCTGTCATAGCAACAGAGCCGTAAGCGTAAACCTGCTCGGGAGCAGGTTTACTTTATGTAAACAGGATTAGATCGCGGCCACGCAGGTATGTCCGCGTCATCATACGAAAGCAACAGCGACATTCCGCCACCGTTTCACCACAAATAAATAACATCAATGTAACTAAAGATAATGCAGCACTTGATCCTGTTATTGATGTCACACAGATACATACAGGTCATTTCCTAAAAAAGGGAAATGTACTATTAACATTCTATTACATGTATGTGATTATTACAGATGTAATTCATATTTCAGAGTAGCAATTGCAAATTACTTCGTGTAATCAAGATGAGAGACCACGGCTATAAAAGCGAAGGTGGATTTGGGAAGCCTGTCGCAGCCATGTCCTGTCCGTATACGCGAGCCACCCATTGCGGAAGGTGCAAGATTGATAAGGAGAGTCCTCAGAATTCAGCGTATATTGCGGGACAGACAGGATCCTTTAGCTCAGCGCGACAGTGTGCTCATTGAGAGATATCGATATTCCCGTGAGGGTATTATTTACTTAACCAACTTGTTGACGAGGGGGTGCAGGACCACCACCTGTCTTTTTTTCCTCTGCCCTTTTCTTGGTTGCTGTTATGAACAAACTAACAGAGTATTACAGGCCAGTTACCTTGCCAAGAGACGAAAAGCAATCTAAGAGATAAATATTACCATTCTGTAGAATACTCCTGTATTCCACTTTTACTTGTTCCCATGTTCTTGTGGGTCCTGTTGTGGCTCTAATGTGAAAGGGGATATAATATAACATATTATGATATAATATAATGCCATATGATATTGGACAATATAGTGTCATATGATAGATCTACCCTACCGCCTACTGGTGTTGGCCAGAGGGGCCGATGGCGCGATATGGCAGCCTGGCTACAACCGTAGCTGCCTCCACCAGTGTGTGAATGTGGGAGTGAATGAATAGTGGTATCGTAAAGCGCTTTGGGTGCCTTGGAAAGCGCTATATAAACCCAATCCATTATTATTATTATTATTAAATTACCTACGAGTTTGATTTGTCAGCAACTTTCTGCCAGCCCTCTCTCCTTGCTTTTGCAGCCTTTGCAGTGTTCTCTTGCGTTTTAATTAAACTCTGAAACTCCTGAAATCCCTCACTCATGAGTTCTTGCTCTGCTGCCGGAAAATACCGAGCACGCCCCTTCGACATTTTCGCCGACCAATCAGCGGGTTGCCGATCAATGTTTCTACTATCGATGCGTAGCCCCTTTTACGACACCCAGTGATCGCGCATTACTTCATCCAGCTGTAGTAATCGTCAACAGCAGGTGTGTTCGGGGAACCGGATTAGCGAGCTCACGGTTAGCGCGATGATTTGATCTTGGATGTGTCATTTGATCTTGGATGTAGTAAGCGACGTACGAAGAACAGGCCCCTGGTTTCATCTTCATGTTTCCCTCTCACCAGATAACCAAACCATATCATGACCAGCAGCTTTACAGCTGTGGCTCCAGCAAACATCAGCTGATACTAGAAATTAATATTAAATAAATTCTAACAACAGCTGATCAAGCTTAAACGTGCTGCTGTTGTTTAGCGCGACATCCGCTGGTTTCCTCTTTCGGCGCAAAGTGAGCGATAAACAAACAAGAGAGCCGATCAGCTGATCATTGATCAGTTTCATGATTGAAGTAGAAACAGGAGAGGGAGGGGGGAGAATGAGAGAAGAAGAGGCAGCTGTGCAGCAAAGACACAGAATAACTCCAGCTTTGTGCCTTTTTCATTGTAGCTGAATTACGGGACAAACTGTTCCTTTTCACCTCAATAAGAAACGCGTAATATTTTCTCTGAATACCAGACGGGACGGTTGGCAACTCTAATAACTTATGAACAAAATAAAGTTTAACATCGTAATGTCACGGTCCGGGGCAGCGGCCGTGTGGAGAGTGGAAGGAGGACCCAAAACGCAGCACTTATTCAGGTGTGAGGGTGATTTATTGATAATATACAAACACAAAGTGGAGATGGCAAACAGAACTAAGGATCGAAACTAAACTGGGACAAACTACACAGAGGAGTGGCAAACCTGAACATGAAGGGAGAACAGCAGGGAGACACGCAGAGGATTACACCAGGTATGGAACACGACGACGCGATGAGAGCAGAGGAAAACACACACTATAAGTACACAGAGAGACACTGGGAAATCACACACAGGTGGGAGACACAGCTGGACCTGGTTAACCTGACGAGACAGGGAACACTGACACCAGGGACCAATAGAGGGAGCACAAACCCAAAACCCAGTATCTAAAATCCCAAAACACAAACCATCCCAAAACAGCCATGAATAATAATGAAAGTAATAACAATAAAGAACACAAACACAAAGTCACCGAGTCATGGTCGCAGGACCATGACAGTTACATAGCACCCACCCAGCTGTATAGAAACTCCGTCATGCTAGCTAGCACGCAGTACGGAAAAAGTCAGAATAACGAAAATAAACTCCACCTAAACTTGGTTCATATCTGACCCAGAAGACTGCAGGTCATAACTTCTTACCTGAAGTTCAGTTCACACTTGGACCGGCGGCCGCCTCGGGTCTCTTTTCCTGCGTGCCTCACCACTTGCTAATGTTACTGAATCTGTGGAAGCTCCGCGATAGCCACCACACGAAGTAACGAGTAACGACCTATCTAAATCCCAGTAACGACTAACGCGTTCCTGATTTTGGCATAATAACTAGTTACCGTGCTCGTTACCACAATAATAACGTAGTTACTGTAACGCGTTACTTAATAGCGTAATCCAACATGGTTAACCTTAGCTGGAGCCCCCCAGGGGACGGAAAAAAATTGGAGAAAAAAAATTGGAGGAAAATAGAGGATCAGATCAAAAGACGACTGGACTGGGATAAGTATTGTGGTAGCACATAGAGAATTGTTTTGATGTGAGTTGTTGGGAGATTGTATGGTGGTATGCGGTTAGTGTTGTATCTGAGTATATCACGATGTTTTGGGTACCGATCCTGGTCCAGTAAATGATCGTACGGAGGCTGCCTCGACGTCGAAAATGCGAGCTCATTTGCGAGATCTCGCAAAAGTATTGCGAGCGCTCGCAAAAGTATTCGACCGAAGTATTCCTCGCAAAAGTATTGCGAGATCTCGCAATAAGTATTGCGAGCGCTCGCAAAAGTATTGCGAGATCTCGCAAAACTCCAACAATGGCGGCAGCTACTTAGTTGTAATATTACTCTTTCTGGGTCACAAAATACACTTTTAAGATATTTTGAGGCGTGAATGTAGTTGTGTAAACGTCAGATACCTGCTCGGTTTACAAGACATCACATATTTGCAAAAGAGCTCCGAGGTTTTTGGAGATCTGACACCCACTAGCTCGAAGCTAACGGGAGGTCGAGACCTACTACAGCCGGGAGGAACACCGCTTTCCCGGCACATCGTGCCTCGACCTCCCGGTCGGCTTCGAGCTGGCGGCCACTAGCTCGAAGCTAACGGGAAGTCGAGACCTACTACAGCCGGGAGGAACACCGCTTTCCCGGCACATCGTGCCTCGACCTCCCGGTCGGCTTCGAGCTGGCGGCCTCCGAAGAATGCGGCTAAAACTTTTGCGAGATCTCGCAATACTTTTGCGAGCGCTCGCAATACTTATTGCGAGATCTCGCAATACTTTTGCGAGCGCTCGCAATACTTATTGCGAGATCTCGCAATACTTTTGCGAGCGCTCGCAATACTTTTGCGAGATCTCGCAAAAGTCCGTCTTATTTTTTTTTTCTTTTTCTCCCTAATTTTTTTTTTTTCCTCCCTAATTTTTTTTTCTCCCATGTCCCCTGGGGGGCTCCGTAGGTTATAACTGTGTCTGCAGAAAGTTTGGCATAATTTAATGTAGTTTGTTCCAGAAGCAAACTCAAAACCTTTTCATTCTCACAGGCTTACATGTAATTATTGTGTGTATATGAGACACAAATTCCCTTTGGGGTTTGCTTAGGAAGGGCATTTGGTT